TAGAACGAATCGAACATTGGCTGGTAGTCGTTTTAACCAGAGTGAACATAAGACATCTTTTGTCACTTTGTTGTCTCCTAAGTTTTGCATTTTGCGTAGTAACAATGCAACGGTTTGCTGTCTCCTAGTTTAATGTCGTCAAGTAAAGTTTGTAATTTTTCATGCGTGATAAGACATTCTTTAAGTGTTTTATATTTGTCAGTTGCAGAAGATTTTTTGACTATGCCTGAGACATGTTGCAATAATTCTGGATCAATGTAGGAAGTTGCTGTCCAATATTTGCTGTTATCTCCAGTAATCTTCTTGCGATGGAATGCTGCATCAACTTGAATAAACCAAAAGGCTGGATCTTGCTTCCAAAATGGTGGTAACTTGAACTCTATCGACGCTATTTCGTTTTCACCATAATACTATTGCGTAGCATGACTTGTTGAAAGTCGTTGCTCGTTATTCATGTTAAAAGTATTGTTTGCAGTGCTATGTGCTTTGTCTGGAGTCACTAATTATGGTGGAACTTGTGACTGCGATGTATCTTGTTGTATTGTAAATGCATGTTACTGTTGAAACGTATTTAATTGCTGTTGCATTTGGTTGTTCTTTAATATTTATTGAGTAAATGACATTCAAAGCCACATTAACCAGCGCAACGCCATCTGGCGTGATGTAAAAACCAAAGTACAAACCGCAACTAACTTAATGGTCCAGCGTCTATTAGTATTTAGCACATCAGAAGAGAAAAAAGAGAAAAAAACAATAAATGCTCGTAAAATAATAAACATTTACAACATTTATTTGAAAATGTTTTAATTAATAATAAAGTGGTAATACAGAAGTACCTCATAATAAATTAAGTTTTAGTTAAATAATTTAAATAAGTTTAAATAATTAAATGAAGTTTATGTGCAGATATACAATACATATAAGAATCAAAAATTTGTTTTCAAGATTTTATCATTTTATCACTATCAATAACTGAGTTCCGTCTGAACACAACAGAACTGTTCCACGAGCTACTCATAGTAAAACTCAAGTAAAACACAAGTAAAGTTCAAATCGAGAGCCTAACACAAATAAAGTGCCAAATCATGCTCTTTACATAGATTTTCATGGAATAGCTTTGTGAAAAATCTGATGAGAACATAAGTGCCGCGCAAATAAACAGTACAATAATTTACATTTAAACCAAAACAGCTGATTCCCACATCAACATAAATTTTACTTGAAATAAGATGTACGAGTAAAGTCTATGTAGTATTTTCAAATTTTGACAGGGATGTTACGGTTTCTCAGATGCTCTCATGTACTCGAAAATTTGCTGGTGGAACGCACTTGTGTGTTATTATTATTTTGATATTATATATTATTTAATTTTAAATAATTTGAGTATAGTTCAGCAGTACTCCTGAGACTATTAAATTATATGTTTGTTACTGTCAGTCTTAACTATTGCCATATTCTTTGATTAAAACAATATGTACAGTACATATAAAAATTCTAAAATACATCTAAAATTCTTAAAATTAAATAAAATTGAGTTCGTTTACTGCTACGACAAGAGAATTTCCATTAAATTTGTTTAACATTGATGTGCGAAAATATATATGTATCAAGAGAAAAATAAAATGAATGATATGAAAAGCGAACTTGTAAGCTGCGATAACGTTGAGGCTACCAAAGCCAAAATAGCGAATGTTTTGTCACAAATAAAGCGTTACCAGGAAAAGACGCGCAAGTTTATTGAAGATAATTATGTAGAATTTATGCCAAATAACTCATCCTCCGATATGTATTTAGATGATGGAAAAGTGCTAATTGAAGAATCTGATCAAATACTTCAAGATGTAAGCAAAAATGCTGTCACAGCACTGGAAGACACAAACGCTGAGTTGCAGAGTTGTGCAAATGATCTAAATGAAATTTCTTTAGGTCTTCGATTAAGTTATAGAATTTTAAAAATAGATGACCTATTTCAATGTGTTGAAGAATCAAATGCAACGAAGGACTATTTGATTGTATTGGACTTACTTCAGAAGATTAAGGATCTTACTTATAGTGAAAGTAACGACGACTGTGACCGGTTATTTCAAAAATGTGCCTGTTATGATACTATCAAAGTAAAATATCATATACAAGCTCACATGCTAAAGCAAAATTTGCAACAACAATTTCAACAGTTTCTTCAGTTAAATGAAAAACTATTTCCCCAAGCTAAACGCGTAACAATTAAGATATCAAAAGATGTAAATCAAATGCAAGATATAGTCATGGCACTCTTCCAGGTAAAATTATGAATATTTAAAAAAAAAATGAATTGATTGAATTATTTTATATATAGGCACAGTATAATCCTACTAAAATATGTGATTTTCTGTTGGAAAATTGTTTCGAGCCGTTAATAACCAAACCAGTTTCTATAGAATATTGTGATGATAGCAACGAATATTCGCAACTTACACTGTCTTATTCTTTGAAAAATCTCGGCACTAGCCTCCGCCCTTCCTATAAACAAGTTTTCGAACACTTTAAGCTAGTATTGCAATGCTTAGGTATTATTAACGTTTCGATTTCGTCAGATCAACATGTTTTTTCTATTATTGGAGACCATATTAAGGAACGAATGCTTAAACGCTTAGTCGAAGACTGCCTAATGCATGAAATTCCGGATACAATGGATGAGTTACGCGATTCAACTATAGTAGAGGACGTTCATCAATTCGAACAGTTATTGGCAGACTTTTTTTTAATAAATATCGAAAATGATCGTATTCTTAGCAATTTCACCGAAAATTTCGAAACATATTTTAGAAATCGATTTTCTAACAAATTGCTTAGTAGTGCACGTGATATAATGCAGAAAGATATGCATGACATGACATTGATTGCGGAAGAAAATAGCGCGGAATGTGTTGCTAATAATCCATTCTTGTTTCCGTGTTGCATGGTTTCCAAAAGTACATTGGTAATTATTAAGATTATTTTTTAATTTTTTTTTTTATAAGTTTATTAAAATAAAAATAAGGATGTAGTCTTCTTCATTAATTATTTCCAATTACATTGCAATTCAAGTAAATTTAAATCTCAATAATACTTTTTTTGGATCATAGATTATTACTTCATAGATTAAAATAATAGACTAAATCCTGATCCATGATGTATAAAATTTTATTCATTGGGATGTGAGAAAAATATTGTGATATATATATATAACATACAATTTTTTTTAAATATCCATAAAAGATCAATTAATATTATTATTGAATGACTATATAATGTCAACATTATTAATATTTTTATTTCTAATAATAATTCCTTCATGAAACGGAGAAATATAGTGAAAACAAGTTATATATATCACCGCTATTCTAAATACTCCCAGGGAATAAGTCTCTCTCTTCCCTCGAATAGAACTCCCTTATTCTGAATTGCTTGGGATGGGAGACAGCTGTTTTGGGAACATGTGAATAAAATAAATTAATAAAAATTTCAATGTATTATAAAACTTTTATTATAATAATTTTATTAAAATAATAATTTTAATGAAATATATTAATATAAAAATTTAAATATATTAAATTTTTACTTAATATATTTTATTAAAACATATTCGAAAAATTAATCAACCAGTCTGGATAAAAAAAAAATTTGAAATTTAATTTATTATAATAATTTTATTATGAAAATAATTTTATTATGATAATAATTTTATTAACATATATTCAAAAATCTGATCATAATAAGTTACTTACATATTAAATTAAATTCTATTTAACTTATCTCCCACACAATTTGGTTAGGAAAGATTTTATACAAAATAAGGAAAAAACTCCCATTCCCATATAATTCAGAATAGGGATAATATATATTAAAAACTTCAAAAAAAAAAATACTCCCGATAGATTTTATTATATATGTATATTAGTGTTTTCGCTTAAATAAATGTAATACAATTAAAAGTGAATTAATGTAATAAAAGATAAACAATTAATTGCTTCTTAGGAGTTGATTAAACTCATGGAACGTATACTACGGCAACCTAAACTTCCAGAAACCGATGTAAATTATTTTTTAAACATTATATGTATCATTCTAAATACTTACGTGAATTTAGTACCAGAAGTTCATGAAAAACTGCTTGAAAGCATACCTCAACAATCAGTTTTATTTTACAATAATTGCATGTTCTTAAGTCATTGGGTTGCCAAAAATTCCGAGAAAAACTTACCTTACTTTCCGGCCATAATTGACACTTTGCAGTCTACTGGAAAAAAATATTTTAACATGCAAATAACTTACCAGCGCAAAATAGTGATGGATATATTAAAAGAATTTGGTTAGTACTAAATATACATAAAAATGTCAGTAAATATATTTATTTTTTTTAGATCTTTCAAATATGCACAATCTCGGTGTTTTACCGCTCAAGTTCATACGTCAATGCATGCGGCAATTAGAACTACTAAAGAATGTGTGGCAAAATGTTTTACCCGACAGTATATACAACAAAACTTTTTACGATTTACTTGATGGTGTTTCTAGTGAGATTATTAGACGAATATTAGCTATGGAAGATATATCAGCGACTGTGGCAAACGAACTTAGCGAGTTACTTGGAGTAGTATTGGATAGAGGACCAACACTATTTAAGGTGAGTTGGTTTAATATCCAAAGCCTTTATTAAAAATACATATCTTTTTTAAAAAATAAAATTAGGATAAACATGAAGTTATACGTATCAAATCGTGGATGAAACTTGAACAACTGAAAGTGATTTTAAATGCTTCCCTACAGGAAATAACAGAGCAATGGTGTGAAGGTGTTGGAATTTTAACAGCTCATTTTAAAGCAGATGAAATTCGCCATCTAATTAGAGCATTATTCCAAAATACAGATCGGCGTGCAAATGTGTTAACAAAAATAGTTTAAAAATATTTTTTTTTATTGATTGTTACTAAATACATTGCATACATGTGTGCATTTTTTGGAATAAAATGAAGTTTATACAATTTAATAATTTTAAAACGATTACGCTATGAAAAGTTAATAGTGGCTTGCATCAACAATGGAAGCAAAATTTCTTTCACTAAACTGTGTCCTTGGCCATGTGTTATTTCTAAAATTTTTATCGATGATCTTAAATTGCTTGAAGCTTCCTTTAAGCAGTTTTTATAAAGCTCTATTTTACCAAGTTTCATGTGAAGCAATCCTAACATTGGGTGCCAATCTCCATAATATTTCCTAAAAGAACAAAAAAATTTTCATATACATATGTCAATCATTTGTTTTGAATTATGTTATACAAAATTTACCTATACCCTGGTATAAGTAGTCGCCCAATTTCTAGTGCATCTACCCATTTACCAACTTCAATGTATGCATCAAAAGCAGCATCTAATGTCTTAACGCGCCACAAATTTAATGGGTGCAAATAATCTTTTTGCTTATTTAAACATATTTGTAAGACATCAAGATCTTTAAATCAACATAAGTTTTATATGAAATTAATGAACGAATTATTTAATGTTTATAAAATTTTTTGAAATAAAATGTGATATTAGAGTACTAGTGATTTAACCCATAATAATAGGCTATACATTTGTTTGTGGCTTTTGGCAAGCTATAGTGTGTTATTTTTTGTGGATTAGTGCACTACTGCTCTTAACATATAGCCTAATATAATATAGTTCTATTATTTACACCTAAATTACCCACATGCAACTTCTTTCATTTTATCTAAGTGTGTCTTCGTTAGTGCCATAGCTTCGTTAAATGCAGCACGATATTCAGAATTTATATTGGTTTTACATAACGAACATTTATCTGCACTGATGTCGAGAAACATATTACAGTTTGTGTTGGGACATAATGCGGCGTTCATTTCGCGTAGTTCATTGGAGTCCAGACATTTTGAGCAGAAACAATAAAAATAGTAATTGGATTTTAAGTCATGTCGTCGCTGTTCTGTAGTATTTAATAGTTCAATGTAGCTTATAAAAATCTATGAATATATTTTGTAAATTAAAAAAAAAACAAGTCAATATTTATAAAATAGCATACCTTTGACCAATCTAAACAGTCAATAGTTTCAGTCGCATGTATAAGAAGAGTTGTTCCTTCAAAAGTGGCAACTGCATTTGGCCTACAGCTGTGGTCGGTGACAGAAACACCTAAATATATGGCAGTGGCAATTGAGTTCATTTCGGCATCAAGAATGTTAAATCCATTTGTGACCAACTGTTATAATATTTAA